ATCCATGAAAATTCCCAAAGACAGTGAGGCAACATTGGGTCTATAAGACATTTTAGACAAAGGGAAAAAAGGGGGGTGGTATTAGATTTCAGAAGTGAGAGTGGGCAGTTTACGTGTAGCTGGGGAAGAGCGGAACCCACGTGGCAGGCAACTCCCCCAGGTAACTCAGGAACTCTGGGGCACAGCGGGCCTCCCGGGAACAGGCACCTGCTTGCAGCCCTCTGGTACTACCACACTTAATTCAAAATAAGCAAATGCAGCATCCTAAGGTCTCCTTCCTGAAGCAGGTTTTCCTCTCTTTGAATCTCTTGGGCAGGAAAGAGGAGGAGGGTCAAAGGTTCTGAGTCCTTTGTTTCTTCATAAATAGCTTAAAATCAATATCCCACAAAGCAGCTTCAGGGTGGCATAACTTTGGTCCCTTCAGCCCTGCCTTTGAAACTTTAAATAATAAAATTTCACATTCCAGAAGCTAAGCTGGTAGATTGCTCCATATTTCATTGATTAAATCATTCAGTTCTGAGAGTCAGCCAGTTCAGTGAAAGGTGTTGAGTCTCATCTCAGGAGGCGGCAACGCACACGGGCTACCAAAGTGGGGCCTATACTGTGTATGCAAGCAGTCAGGTATTTAATAAGGGGTATGTCTATGAAAATAGAAGAAAACAAAGGTTAACGATCAGAGCCAATTATAAGCAGTTTCTGATTCTCTAAGGCTGCACTCAAGAAGATTTCCGGATGGGAGACTCAGAGTTCCTTTTGCTGGAGCGCGGGCAGGCAGTGACCACGTGAAGGTCTCTGATGATGCCACCAGGTGCTCTAGTGAATTCTGCTTGGCTTATACCGAGATGATTTAAATATGAGCTACTGTGGCGATTCTTCTCAAGTTTATATTATGTTCTTTCGCTGCAATTTGTAATTGCAAAGCTCAGAAAAGTTTTAGGTCTTCATAATTGCAAGTCAAAGGATAGGAGAAAAATGAAACATTAGTTTAAAGGGTTATAGCCAAATATTTAAGGAAAATAGAAAAATTCAGGATCCAGTACAATCTGTAGGTGAAAATTAAAATTTGAAAGGCAATGAACTGGAGTCTAATATCCACAACTGTGTATTACAGATTCTATGGAGACAGTTTCTCTCCCTAAAATCACCATTTTTCTCAAAGATAAGCAAATTAATAAAACTGCTTTTCTTATGATAGCAAAGGGAGGGGGAAGGGTATTTATAAATAAATCTATCTCTTTCTAAAGGACCAAATCATAGAAAAACTTTCTACTAAGACATTACTCAAGCCTCAGAGTAAGAGATCCTTGAAGAATACTTTTTAAAAGAAACACTGCCTAAAGTACATGTTTATGAGAGCTATTTAACCCATCTGTGCAACATCTAGGCCAAACATGAACAACTAAAATAGTCATTTTTTCCCCCAGCAAACCATGGGGGAAAAAACAAAAAGGCTTTAGCCAAAGTGCAAAGCGCTCTGAAGGGAGCTGTCCATTTATCATGGCTTCCCTTCAGTCTCAATCAAGGTAGAGAGTATACAATTATCAACAGATAACTGAAAGCCTGCACTGGCCCCTTCTTCACTGCCTAAATCTTCTAAAAAACCTCTATCTGTCTTCTGACAGGATGCCATTCCCTGCGTCTCCATTTCTGTCCTGAAGTACTAAAAAAGCAAGTATCCAAAGAGGTTTAAAGAGTCCTCGCACCTTACCGCCTAAAGGGGCAGGAACTAGTACACTCACTACAGAAAACGGTTCATCGCATTGTCTCAAGGACCACTCAGACTAAATAAGGCCTCCCAAAGTTCGACTTCCATGCCTCATCACTCTATGCCCGGTCTCTAAGTCCATCACTAAAGGGACAACTGCCTCAAAATCTGAACTCAACTCCCCCCTCAAAATTAAAAACCCCCTTTGAACTTTTCTGCTATCATTCTCAAATTCAACTGTGTAAGCAGAAAAGCAACCAAAAGCACAGCCTTTTTTCCCGCCCTGTCATCTCTCTCCTGCTAAACGTAATCAGTTACGAAGTCTTATACATTATTTGGTGTAAGTGAGGTACACACACCCACCTCCTGTTTTACTTCCAAATTCTGACCAATGACATTATTTATCACTTACCCAAGTTCTAACCTTGGGGTCATCTTTTTTTAAAAAAAAAGTTAAACCGAGAGAGAGAGAGAGAGAGACAGAGAGAGAGAGACAGAGAGAGAGAGGAAGAGAGAAAGACAGAGAGAGAAAGAAACATCGACTTCTTGTTCCATCCACTTATGCATTCATTGGTTGCCTCTTGTATGTGCCTGACCGAGGGATTGAACCCACAACCCCAGTGCATTGGGTCAATGCTCTAACCAACTGAGCTACCCAGCCAGGGCCAGGAGTCATCTTTATAAGGAATGAAGAGGAGATAAAGTTAACCGATTGGAAAGAAAATAAAGAAAATAGCAGTTAATGAGTTCCTACTATGTACTTGTCACTGTGCTGGCCTAGGAAGCGGGTTGTACTATTATCATTTTATAAATGCGGTAAAAAGTTGGGAGTTTCTCAAATATTTCTTTCTGGTCTAACCGTTCAGACTTTCACCACTTCACATTTACAGTACCGTTTGTCTCCTCTACTCCAAATTTGTTCTGTATAAAAACTGCCAGAACAATCAGGAAAATTTCATTATATCACATCAATTCCCTGTTAAGGGCAGTGAAGTGCCTCCTGCTTCTCTACTTGCCCACAGACTGGCTCAGAACTCAATAAATATTTGTTGTTTAAAACCACCCCATGACTCCCCACTGGCCTACGTGTAATGAGCCCTGGAAGCATAAAGTAATAGATTTAATCTAAGACAGAGGCCTTGAATCTACAGAATGCATATAAAAAAAGCCTTCATCTCTCTAAGACATGTCACAGTCCTGACTTCCCCAAACCAGCCTTCTTTAAGGAGCAGGGGTGCTGAAATGACAATGCCTGGGTTCTGACCCAGCTCCTCCACTTCCAGCTAGTTAGTTACCCTTTCCGTGCTTCCGTTCCCTCCTCCACGCACGTTCAGCTGGGCCTCTGCTCAAATTCTCCCACCCTCCCTGACTATCCAAGTCCGAGTCATTCTCCAAAGGTCAGCTAAGGGCCCATTTCCCTTGCAAACTCTTACTGGATCACCCTAGCCCATCACTCCACTTAGATGATATATAATAGTGCTACAGCAAAAAGAGTCAGAATCATCCATTTTAATTTTTATCTGATATCCTACATATGGGGGCCTCACTTAATTATTTTACCTGTGTATGCCATACCCCCAACCAGTGTCCCACTCATGAATGATAATGATGCTACACTCTGCCTCACACAACCATCACTAGCAAAACAATATTAATATGGACAATTATTACTATCACCATTTACTACATACATAGTGCCAGGCACTATTCTAAGTACCTTATATAAGTTCTATCTACCTCCCATTCTTAACTACTACATCATACTGTTTAGTAATTACTTTGGTCATTTTGTAGCTAGGTGCTAAATCTTCTCTCCTAAATGTAAGCTGTTAGAAATAACAAAAATTGTGTATTTCTTTGGTCACTTCCAAAATAATTCATTCTTAGTGAGTCATATTCAAGCCTTTACAAACAGGGGGTGTCCAAACTGTGGGCTGCATGCAGCCTAGGATAGCTATGAATGCGGCCCAACACAAAATCATAAACTTACTGAAACCCCCCCCCCTTTTTTTTTTTTGCTCATCAGTTTTCATTTGTGTTTGTATATTTAATGTGTGGCCCAAGACAACTCTTCTTCTTCCAGTGTGGCCCAGAGTTGCCAAAAGGCTGGATACCCCTAGCAAGTAACTCATTTAATCTTCACAAGTCTGTGAGGAAGTAATCATTTTTATTGCCAGTTTACAAATGAGGAAACAGACACGGGAAGGTTAAATAACTTGCCCCAAATCACAGTGTCAATAAGTAGTGAATTCAAGGATGAAGTGGTATTGAATACCTGAGATATATTACTTCATTTATTCACTCTTCTCAACTTTTAGTAAGCACTCTTCTAAGGGCTGTGGATACAGCAGTGAACAAACCCAACACATCTCTGCTGTCATGGAGCTTACAATCTTCTTTTCCTGTATTTTCATTCAAGGACAATCCTCTTTAAATACTCTTTAAGATTTCCACACAAAAACATCAAATTTGGATAATAAAAATTAGTATAGAAGAGAACGAGATTTGAGGCAAGTCTGGTATAAATATGCACTTCTGCCATTTATTAGACCCTGGACAAATCCCTTCACCTGACTCTCAATTTCATGACCAGTATGGGGTAATGAATTAAGTTGTGCATCCAGCACAGTGTCTGGCACTTAGTATTCGCTCCGTGAAGGAATCCCCCTCTTTCCACTTCCCTCCATGCAGTGACTTGGGAAGGTGTGTAGTCCCTGAGCACATGCTAAAAGTCTACAGGTACATTAAGGCCTACAAAGTGACCAATGACTTACTTTCCAGGGCAATTCTCATTCCAGATCACCATCACTGTGTCTCCGGTTTCAGGCCCGGATAAATTAGGTTACAACTCGGGAATGACAGCAACTCACGTTAGGGCCTGGCAGTGTCTGTATAGTGCTCCCGATGACCTTCTTTAGAAGGCACTTTAGTTTCAGCTACGATGAGACGTGGCCTCCTGACCAGACTCCACTCCCCGTGCGGGAGATGTGGCCGCGGGGAGAATTTCGAGCCTCTGGCACGCTGTTGTGCCACCTGCCCACCCAACCCCCCACCTTCTCGGGGTTGCAACGCCACTCCTCCCACTCTGCGCGGCCCAGGCTCCTGCGGCCCGCGTCTCCCACCGCCCGAGTGACCTCCCGCCCAGGCTCGGGCAACTGGCCCTGGCCTGAGAGGCTGGAACAGGCCGGGCGGCCTGACCTCTCACGGAGCTCCCCTTCCGCCCTCCAGGTCAGCGGAGCCTTGGGCTGGCTCATCGGCTCCCAGCGCGGCCTGCCAGGGGCGCGAAGCCTCTTACCTATCTTGACGACCGTATCTGCCATGCACCGGTCCCACTTCCTGCCGAGCTCTGAATCCGACATGTTTCTCGCCCTAAACTACAGCTTTCCTTACGATCTGGCCCCGTGCTCCGACTCCAGGCAAGACTCGCGAGAGCTGGCGGCGGTTCCCAGGCCCAGAAGACCGGCGCCGGCCTGCCAGATATCGCGAGATGATCGGACTGTTTCCGTCCTTTCCAGTTTTTTTTCAGTTGGTCGTCAAGGTGACGGGTTGCTGGGAGGCCCGAGGTGACCCTGACCTTGGAGCCGCGCCTACCCAAGGGTTTTGAGGCTATCAGGTTTCCTAGGTGGCATCCAGAGTCTTGTCTGGAAGTCCCTTCCTCCGCACCAACTCCCGACGTTGGCTCTGGAAATTCCCAAGGCAAGTGAGGGCACAGCGCTTGATTTATTCATTCATTTACTTACCTTGACTTTTTCTACTCCCTCACTCGTTTATTGCAGTGAAGCTCCCACAGCCTCCTGACACATAGTATTTGCTTGATAAAGAAACTGCTCTGGCAAAAGATCACCTATTGCCAATCAAGTGGAGCTTTTTGGACCTCTGTACAGCACTAGACACAACCGCTCCCTCCCTCCTGACCCTCCTTGTCTCCGCCTTCTCTTCGTTCGTTTGGATTCCCAGCACACCAGCCTTTCCTAGTCCTCTGACTCTCCCCCTTAGGTGCCCTTCCAGGGCTCCTTTTCCTCTGCCAGATGCTTTAAGAGCGTTGTTTCACAGGGTTCCTCCCATCAATACCCTGTTCACTCTGCACACTGTCCCTGAGTAATTGCACAACTGCCAAATTCTACACATAACATGCCCACCCCCCAGCTTCTCATTCTTAATTCAGCCTCCTTGCTGGTGTCATTGAGTTTAGTCTTCCTTCCTCGGTTTCCTCCTCCATCCTATCAACAAATACCAATTTGACCATATTATTCCTTTGATTAGAAGCTGTCAACGACTCTCACTTATCTACTAGATATAACCAAGGTTCAACAAGTTCATTCTAGGAAGCCTGGATTAAGAGACCTTGGAGCCCCTCTTCATCATCTTGTCACAGGAGCTTGCCTACCCCTGTAATTCACTACATTGTATTGAAACATCTCTTTATAGAACTTTGTATTTGCCAGGAAAACTATTATGGAAGCTCATTAAGGGCCTGAGCTGCCCCTTTACCACCTGCACACTCCCAGTTTGGAACACAATGTCTTGGGCAGTAAGACCTTCTGTGAAAGATTTGTTGAACAGAATCAAATTCTTTCACCCATTTATTTTTTCGTCTTTCTGTCCTTGGTGACTTTAACAGCAGAACTGCTATACCAATCCTTGCTATGATAGAGCCCCTACTTTCAGGAAGGCTTCTTCCGTGGCCACCTTTCTCACTTTCTTCTGAGCTGTAATACATATGGGATTGTATTGTAACTATGTGTCTCCTGGATGTGACTGTGAACTCCTTGAGAATGGAGGCTGTGCCATTCCTGTATCCCCCACAACTAGCAGAGAGCCTGGTATATATTGGATTTTCAGTAAATGCTTTTGGAATGGATGTAAGAATGAATGGGCTCTGACCAGTGTGGCTTAGCTGGTTGGGCGTCTCCCACAAAGCTAAAGGTCTCAGGCAAGATTCCCAGGCAGGGCACATGCCTGGGTTGTGGGTTTGGTCCCCAGTCGAGGCTCATACAAAAGGCAAATGATCTATGCTGCTCTCTCACATCGATGTTTCTTACCCTCTCTTTCTCCTCTTCCCCTCTCTCTCTAAAAATAAATAAGTAAAGTCTCCAGAATAAAAGAATGAATGGCTATATGAATAAATCACTGATTGAACGAGGAAAAGAAAAAAGTCTTTGTTCTGGAAGAACTTTATAGTGTAGCATTTATGTTGAAATAGAAAAGGAAAATTCACTAAATAGCTATGATGTGTCACAAGTAGCATCAGGCATCTCATATAATTTTATTTATCCTCTCAGCAGGTTGAGATTAGTATATTTTCACAGATTTGGAAACTGAATATCAAGAAAATTCATGTGGAAGATGCATTGTGTAGATTTAGAAACTGACAGAGGCATTTTTATTGGATTCAAGAGAGTTGTAAAATTTTGTGGAAGGCAGAGAGCAATTACAAAAGCAATCAGAGGCAGATGGTATAGCATGAATTCTGGAGCCAGGCTGTCTGAGTTCAGATCCCAGCTTTGCCATTTTCTAAGCTTTGTATCTCTTATTCTCTTTCCACATTCTTTTCCCAATTGTGATGTTGGTTCACTGTCATATTTCCAGCCCAAGAACATTATCTGACACATAGTATTTGCTTGATAAATATATATTGGTTGAATGAATAAAATAAGTGAAATCTCTGGAGTTTTGATAGTTCTTAGAGAACAAAGACCAATACAAGTGAGAAAAACATTTTTTTTTTAAACTGGCAATACACACATTATAAATTTTGTTGTATTCAAAATGTTTAAAAATAGATTTCTCAATGCTGGAGAAAGGAGTTACAAACATGAAACGGGGGAAAGCTTGAAAGAAGGCTTTGCTCTTAGATTAGAATTCAATGTGTCAGTATGAACTCATGACATTCAATATAATATAGAGAGAAAGGGATAAAAATTGTGTGTGTGTGTGTGTGTGTGTGTGTGTATTTCCTGTTCCTGTTTGTTGAGAGGCCCTCCAAGCAATGGCCCACCAGTAGCAATAAGCAGGCCTAGATCTTGGCTTCTAAATACCATCCTCTACTAAAAGAATCCAGGGCTCCTTGGGAAAACGGCTGAGACTCCATGGCTGTAGCAGAGAAAATTTGAGATGACTCTGCAATGGAACAGCTTCTTATATCACAAAGTAAGGAAGTATTCAAAGGCTATCATGTCAAAATGTGTCAATAACTACAATCTGCCTAAAGTAGTACTTAGTTCCCAGTTGGGACTCTATTTAAGTCATTATTAGTGTCTCTAGGACTTCTCTCAATTGTATGGAGCAAGTTTCACAAAGATAGAAGTTTGCATTTCAAATGGGTTAAGACAGCCTCGTGATAAAACAATTTCACACAACAACAGAGCCAGCATCTTTTTACATTGGATAGAAGAATAATGAAAAAGCAAAAACTATCACTAAGTGCACTAGATTTTGGCCCCAACTGGTTAATCTACTCAACATAAGCTCTTTGTTTAGTTTACTAGGTTGTAAATCCAGCTTCATTAACAACACAGATTAGAATATTTTATACCACAGCACCTGCATAAAAGTCTTTTAGATTTCAGTGGGGTTTTTTGTTTGTTTCCCTTCTGTTAAAAACTAATTCCTTTCTTAAAGGGAGATTCACATTTCTTTTGTTTCATATCTTCTTTCTTCAAGAGGGGTTTTATATTATTGTTTTGCCCTTTCAATAATGTGCTCAGAGTCAAACAGCTTCTGTGTAGTTTCTTTGTTTGATTCCAACGTCCAGAAGCTCTCCCCTTTACGTATATATTTACATGCATATATAGATATTTATAAGATAACAGGCATACATAAAAATGCTAGAAACATAAATACAGCATAACAAAACTTGTAAAATGAACATCACTAGCATCTCAGAAGCCTACTCCTCACTGTGTCCTTTGCTAGCATAATAACTATCCTAACTTTTGTGTTACTCATTTCCTTGCTTTTCTTTAAGTATCATTATCCTGGTTATTCATCCTTAACAATATAGTTTAATTTTGCCTGGCTTTGAACTTTGTATGGCTAGAATCATATAGTCCATACTGTATGGTATTTGACTTATTTTGTTCATTATTATGCATGTTTAAGATTCATCCATGTTGTGTGTTTATTTCATTCTGGTTTCATCGCTGTATAGTATTCCACTGTGTTCTACCCATAATTTGTTTATTTGTTCTACTGTCCATGGATATTTGGGTTGCTTCTAGTTTGAGGTTATTACCAACAAGGCTACCAATTCTTGTAAATACATCTTTATGCATGTTGGCATGTATTTGTATAGGATTATAGGACATATAACTAAAGGGAGCAATAGGGTATGCTTATCTTCAGCTCTTTAGATATTGCCAATTTTATCCCAAAGTGATGATACCAGTTTACATTTTCTCCAGCAGGGAATAAACATTCCTGTTATTCTATATCCTCGCAAACAGCTGGTTTTTAATTACAATCTAAAATTGTTGCCAGTCTAGTAAGTACACAGTGGCATCTAATTGGAGTAATTCTTGCTCTTTCAAATGATTAAACTACTCAATCATATGTTCTTAATATATAGTATAACAGGAGTGTGGGGTTCCACTTTAATGGAAGGAGATCTGGTCAGATAGCTCAGTTGGTTATATTGTCATCCTGATACACCAAGGTTGCGAATTTGATCCTTGGTTAGAGAACATTCAAGAATCAACCAATCACTACATGAATGGTGGAAAAATAAATCAATGTTTCTCTCTCCCTCACACACACACACAGAGCAATAATTTTTTTTAATTTAAAAAATTAAGTTAAAAAATTTAATGAAAGTGTCCATGTCAAGAGGAGATGATAGAGACACTTTGCAAACTTACTGCTCTGTGACCTTGAAGCAGATATACTGGGTTGAATAGTGTTCCCACCCAGTTCATATCCTTCCTGGACCCTCAGAATGTGACCTTATTTGAAAATATGGCCATTGCAGATGTAATTAGTTAAGATTAGGTCATGCTGGAATAAGGGGCACCCTAAACCCAAAATGACTGATATCCTTATAAGAAAAGGAGAATATACACAGAGACAGACACAGAAGGCAAATGGCTATGTGACAATGGAGGCAGAAGTTGGAGCCATGTGCCTGCAAGCCAAGGATTAATCACCCAAAGCTAGGAGAGAGGCATGGAGCAGATCCTCCCTCTGAGTCACCAAGAAGAAACCAACCCTGCTTGTTAGGGTGGTCGGTGACACGGGCTGTGAAGGAATGCACAAAGGAGAGACAGTGTAGAGAATAAAGTTTTTATTCACTCTTCGAGAAAGGACAGGGGCATGCTGTGGACACACCAGCATTGAGGGGTGGGGACTTTGAGCTTTTACTGGATTATAATTGGATTAAAAAAGGGTGGGGGTTGCTGTTGTGTGGCCCCTGGGCAGGTGGGGCCGTTGTAACAGGAGGCTGTGGTTTGTTCCCGTGTTAT